AAATGAATTACCTGCTCCATTTCAAATCATCTAGCAATTTTAATGTATATTTATATTCGTCATCAATAATGGCAAACTTCCAAATATGGTTCAATTGTAAAATATCATACGTTTAAGGCAATCATTAAAACAAGAGCTGCATATCGAAATGCCGCTCGAATATATCAAAATCAGCTGTCTGCATAATTAAGGAATTATTATGTTTAAAGTTTATAATTCTTGAAAAAACTGTCTAAATGGAATAGTACCTACACATAATGATCTCAAAAGATGTGTTTAGGTTTTTCCAGTGCATTACCCAAACCATCAATGGTTTTGTGGACATAAATCTCTTGTCCCCAGAAATCTTGAAGTTTATAAAGGAATATAATTATTTCCAAAATCAATGCTTGGGTTATGGGTCTGAAACAAAAAAATAAAAAAAATCTCATTTTGAATCTGACAATGAATGTTTTATGGCTAAGGAGAAACAAACTTGCAAACAAATCCTTAACCAGTTGGTCAACGCCGAATACCACCTTGCAGTCAGTAAATTAGTTCCCGTATTGTGTTGCATAAAAAATAAAAGAGATATTCATTCAAATTTAAAAAACACATGCAAGGGATTTTGTTTATTAACAAAATGAATGTCTCATCGCCTTACCAAATTAAAATATTGTTAATCTTTTTAATAATAACTTTTCATTTAAACATAAACAAAAGAAGTATCTAAATTACAATTGCTTGCCAGAGTTTATTATTCTAAAAGATGTGTCGATCAATTTTAAAACTGTATTAAACGAAATCATGAATGATATTCAGTTTTAATAAAAAATAAATAATCAGTTCACATAATAAAGAATGTTCGGGCCCAGTTTGCAAACAATAATTTTTTCTAGCTTTTCATTAAAAAATAAGATGATGAAAAATAGCAAAAAAATGCAAATTAGTCAGAATTTATAGCATGAGGTGAGTTAAAAATAAATAACATGAAATTTCAAAATTTCAAAAGAGAAAAGAAAATTTGCCCAAAATAAATTAAAAAAGAATATTTAGGGGGTTTGGGGGGCCATCTTTGAGCCATCTTGGGTATCTCAGTTCGTCAGGGTTGGGTCAAATGGGACCGTCCAGAAAAAACAGATCCAAAAGAACAGTTTGGGGTAGAATGGGTGTGGGTGAAAGGGCCCCTTACCCCTCTAAAAGGGCTAGTAAAATAGGCTGATTTGCAGCACAATAGCCCTTGTATCATCCCAGTATCATTCTACAGGCACATCTGATTGCGAAAAGTCTCAATAAATTAGTTATTTGCAAAAACAAAAAACAAAAAAGCACAATTATGATACAATTATAAGCAAATAAATGAGGCATAATTATTTTATCTTATTTATGTACTGTTCGAAAATGTATCAGTTCGTTCGTTTCGTTTTAAAATGTTTTTTTCGTGAATCTATTTCTCTACTATTCTAGAGTTATTTTCCTTTTATTTAAAGACCCCATTTGCACAAGATGTGTTGGCCGGCCTGAAACGAATCGAAACATTAGCCTAGGTAAGTTTTCCCGTTTAGTTTGCTCAATATTAAACTAAATTAAAAGTTATTTCTATGAATTTCACAGAGATCTGACATAGTCAGTGCTTAGAGTGATCCTAAACGATTTTAAAGCACTATGATGTAGAAGTAGAAGTCTACTTTGTTATTGTGTGCATAAATTTAGACTTTAGTCCAATTTATAAGATGGCCTTACCTCTGTCAATTTTTAAACTGTCGTACGAGTCACAAGACACTTGGTGCGGGGGGGGGTCAGAAACTATCCCTTTGCTTGAACCACACGGTACCAAAGCTAGAGTAAATTTTTTGTGTGGAACAGTACAATGCCCAGAGCTTATATGTTTTGCATGTAGCATTGCCTCGTGGACCTCTACAAATATTTGATCAATCATGCACTAAGGGATAATAATACCCTCTCCCCGGGGTCATTTACCATCATAAGGATAACTAAGATAACATATTTTTCAGACAAGTAAATGGGTCACTGCCCTGATATAAAGATTATTTTTAAATTACTCAAACTAATTTTTAATCAGGCATATATTGCTCTGCCTTGAACCCCTTGTTTCTATATCTTGTCAGCGCAAATAATTATATCATTTATTTTTACCTTTTTAGGTTACCTGACAATTTATCATGAAGATACAGCTGTGTGCAGGACCTGCAAACTATTACCGGTATACCAAGACATTGTGAACAGCCGCAAAGATCAGCAAAATACCAGTTTTCATTTGAATGATATACTCAAGATAATGGATACAAAAAATTGTTGTGCAAAAACACACAACAATTTTTTAAGTATTGCTTATAAAATGGGGAAAACAATGAGCACATATTAACCTTTATTTAGGCATTTCCTGAATTAATAAAATCTGAAAATGGAACTGAGTGGAGAATCTGAACAAATGGAGAATATGATAAACAAACATATATCTCTTTATAAAAAGGACAATAAAGGTAATATATTTGAAGAAAACCTACATGTAGATGATGTTCAGGGATATACAATAATGGAGGCTGATGACAATGACGATGATATTGACTTGACAACCTCGGGAGAGGAGTTAAAAAGTGAAGAATCTACTAAACAAGCAAAGGATATATTAATCAAAGATATATATTATTATAAAAAGTACAATCAAGATCTTTCATTTAAAGAAAACCTAGAGGACATTGAGGAATATATGGTTGTTAAGGCTGATGATAATGATGATGATAGCAGTAATAATGAGTTGAATGATAATGACCAGGTAGTTTTAAGTGATGGAACATTCTCTAAACAAGTATTTATAGCTCACAATGAAGTTAAATTAGAAGTGGACAAATCAGAATGTCTTACACATGTGAATACTGAGAAAAGTATTGTAAGTGACAAACAACAGATTGAATTATGCCTGTCCAAAGTTAGTGACTCTGATAAATGGTGATTGTTAAAACTGAAGACGATGTCATTCAACCAACTAGTGATCTACCTTATATGAAGCAAGAGGAACTTGCAGGAATCTTAGGATCTGTAAAGGAAGAAGTATTAGAGAGGTGTAATGAACTGGAAAATTCAAAGTGTCAAATTTGTGGACTTACTTTTACCAATTATTTGCAATATTTAGACCACAGACTTTTGTGTTTCCTAGGAAAGAACCAAGATATACAAGTAAAAGGTAGAAGGGATGAAACAGGTGACACTTCTTGTTTTCAAACTTCAATATTGATGAAACTGAGATGAAAAATGAAACAGTACCAACTGTTGAAACAGAGGTTGGTTCATAAAACTTATTCAATTATCAGGAATTACATAGAGTATTTTTTCTTTCATAAAAACATATTAAATTATCAGGATTGCAAAGTACTGTTGAGATGCAATGAACATTAACATTACAATGTTCAGTTCTTTGCATACAACATACTTGTTACAATTTGATAAAGACTTTCTCTCATATATTTGTTTATAAGAAATGTAGACATTTAAGATACATATAGTATGTAAATATTTGAATACAATGTCTTTACATGTAGGTATGGTAATGATTGTTGATGAATTATTAAAATTTCTCCGATGAAATTATTTACACTTCCATTTTAAGGTCGATGGTGATGATGACAACATCTTGAGGATGGAGCAGCCTGATAACATTAGAGATAACATCGCATATACTCAGATTTTGCCTCTGCGTGATGACAATAATGTTGCGATAGGCAACAATAATTTGCAGTCGCCAACGGCATATTCTCATGCTGCCATTAGCAACAACATTGCAGTTAACAACAACAGTGCCATTAGCAACAGCATACAATACAATCATCCATTACCACAGTTACTTATTCAAAACTCTTCTGTAGGAGAAGAAGCAGTTGAAGTCGAGGAATTCACATTAACTTGTTTCTATTGTAAAAAGATTTTCCCAGTCGAGGACAAAATATCATATATACAACATGTACAAGTGAAACATCTTAATGGAATGAATAGAATTTACAGAGCTGAATTTTTACGCAGTAAATTTGAAGAATTGAAAAGGTATTTTGAACAAGCAATTTGGCATGACTTGGGAATAATAGTAAAGATTTGTCGTCGTAAAGATTGCAAGTTTATATTTATTGATATGTCGTATATGATTAAACATGATCTTAAAGTTCATAAACACCATAAGTATGTATGCAGCATAGCTGATTGCCATAGAGTATTCAGTAGTAAAGGTCCATTGAGGTCTCATGAAATTGTTGATCACGCAAAGACTGCTACAATAAATAAGAATGAAGGTGATTCAAATGAACACGCTAAAAAAATTGATAACATTAAGCACTTCAAACAAACTTATGATGAAGTGAGTGATGGTTCACAATCTGCCAAGAAAAGAAGTATTGTTAATACTTTGACCGATTCAGAAAAATCTGTTCATAACAGGGAAAGTGATCAAGGGGAATTGCCTGAAATACCAAAGAAGAAAAATAGAAAATTCGCAAGTGATATTGATGATGAGGCTGTGAATGATTTTGATACGATAGACAAAGACATGGTTTACGATGAAAATGAAAAGGGAGACCCTTTTCAAAGGTATTTGTACAAGCATGTAGGACAGGCAGAGGAAATACCAAAACCAATCAAACAAGTTTCAAATCGTAAGAGAAAATGTAGACGGAAAGCAGTATCCTGTATGGAAGGGACAGATAAATGTAATAATATAAATGATAATTCAGTTAAATACCCATGTAGATATAACGGCTGCAGTATGGTATATATATCCAATGAAGAGAGAAGTGATCATGTGAAAAACTTCCATATAGTAAATATGTATAACGAGGTGAAGAGACAAAGGAAATTAACTTTCAAGTGTATGAGTGTGGGATGTGAGAAGATATTTGATACGAAGGAAGAAAGGAAACAGCATGTGCAGGAATGTCACATGCTTGGTAATGTTAAGTCTTAACCTATTTAAATTTCCTCAAATGAACTTGTTCAGCTTCCAATTTATTGAACTGTTCATCCATTATCAATTTTGTGGATATGTGAAGATAGAAAACTTAAGATGCTCGGCCAACATTATAAAACCTGGTCAGACTGCATGGATTGAGAAGTTCGTTTATTATTAATACAATATTAAGGGGAGTAAGGATTAAGCCTTATTTCTGTTAGTGACTTCCAGCATGAGAATTACATGATATTTATGGTGATGTTGTAGAATTGGTTATGTTATGTATAAAACAGGAAATACTTTATTTGGGATTTTGAATGTAAATACACTTTTCAAAGAAAACATTCAAGCTATTGCCACTGTCAAGTTGTTGTTTCAGTAACCGTCCAGAAACTTTAAAGTTTTCCATTATTATAATTTCTGAATGGATTGTCTTGATACTTGAACACAAAAACCTTTTGGACAAGACCTTCAAGTAGACAAGACTGAACTTGAGTCTTGACCTTTGAATTTTGTTTGATATTTTCTTTAATTGGCTATAACTTTGTTTTTTTATGAATGGGTTGTGTTCATTCTTGAACACAGTAATTCTTTTAGACAAAACCTTCAAGTAGACCAAATTGGTTTTTACCTTCACTCATCAATAAACTTGATTCATTTATGACCTTGACCTTCAAGGTCAAATGTAATGTTGAATTTTGTTTAATATTTTCTTTAATTGGCTATAACTTTGTTTTTTTATGAATAGGTTGTCTTCATTTTTGAACACACTAATTCTTTAAGACAAAAACATCAAGTAGACCAAATTGGTTTTTACCTTCATTCATCAATGACCTTTATTCATTTATGACCTTGACCATCAAGGTCAAATGTAATGTTGAATTTTGTTTGATATTTTCTTTAAATGGCTATAACTTTGTTTTTTATGAATGGGTTGTCTTCATTCTTGAACACAGTTATTCTTTAAGACAAAAACATCAAGTAGACCAAATTGGTTATTACTTTCACTCATCAATGACTTTGGCCTTGAAGGTCAAATTAATGAATTTTGCTCAATTTTTGTTGTAATTTGCTGTAACTTTGTTATTTTTGAATCTTCTAGTAGACTAGAGTGAACTGGACCTTGATTCATAAATAATTTTGATCTTCAAGGTCAAATGCTTGAATTTTGCTTGATTAATGCTATAATTGGCAATAACTTTGTTTTATATGAATGAATTGTCATGATACATGGACACAACAATCCTTTGGACAAACCTTTAGGTAGACCAAACTGATTATGACCATCATTCATTGATAACCTGAGGTCTTTGACGTTGAAGGTCAAATAATTGTAATGTCACAGTTTTTATGCCACCGCAATCTGCGATGCGGTGGCATATAGCGATTCACCTGTGTGTTTGTGTGTGTGTGTGTGTGTGTGTGTGTGTGTGTGTGTGTGTGTGTGTGTTATATAGATTATATAGTGAACTTAAAAAATCTTCTTGTGAAAAACTACTAGTCCAATTTCAACCAAACTTGGCAGGATTGTTCCTTGGGTGAAGGGCTTCCAAAGTTGTTCAAAGAATTTCATTCCATGCAGAAATCTGGTTGCCATGGCAACCAAAAGGAATTATAAGAATAAATTTAAAAAATCTTCTTGTAAAGACCCAAAAGGCCTAGAGCTTAGATATTTTGCATAAGGCATTGTCTGGTAGACCTCTAACAAGATTGTTCAAATTATAGCCCTGGGGTCAAAATTGGCCCCGCCCCGGGGGTCATTGATTTTCACTATGTACATATAGAGCGGGTGCACCTAATGCCGAACATGCTCCTAATTCCGACCAAAATATTATAATTCATTTAATATTTCATGTTTAACACAATTCAAAAAAGTGAAATCATTATTATAACGTCACTTTGTCTCTCTTTCCACCCGCACTATTTTGAATTCGCGGTTGTGTTGTTTGTTGTGATTTTGGGCATTCAAGGATTTACTTCAATTTTTGGTAAGACATTTTATTTATTAGCTAATTTTTTACAAATTTTTACTAATATCATAAAATATTGAATATTGATGCTTTAGTCAAATTCTTTGAAATCAATGATGTAGACAAAAATAAAAATCATGTGTGAAGCCCCTGTACATGTTTTAAGGTCCTATGAATGAATAACTGGCAGTGTTCGGAATTACATACTGAACTCACTGAATGTTCCAAATTCCGAACAAAAGTTGAAAGAGAATGATTCACCCATTGGACTCAATAACTACAGCAACTACTGTTGTTACAGCAGCTGTGACTCCTCCTGCATCAGCTGGTAAATTATTCGCCGTCGGATATTGTAAACGAATCTGTGTTTGATGAAATACCTACAGCTTCAAATGATCACCACTCCATCTAAGCCATTCACAGTCGTGTCTCTCTCAATGGAGCCGACTGATACATTAAACTGCCTTCATGTTTACTGTGACACCTAACATTACGACTGATTCTATTTCAACACCATCGAAATCTTCGGATGAATGTGTTCCTAAAGCAACAGACGAATCTATGTCACCATTTAGCAAACATTTAATATTCCCAAAGACTGAAACAAAGAACCAAAAGCACTTAAAATGATAATACCAAAAGCAACAGGGGAAAAGTACAGATAATGGTTGATCGAAAAAAAAAAGAAAAAAGAGAGAAAAGGAATTGAAAAAAAAAACAAAGAAACGATAGAGAGAACAATTACAAATAAACTCAAGAGAGCCAAAGAGCTGAAAGAAAAACGGATTGCACTCGAAAAGAAACGGAAGGATAGAGAAGAGGCGAAGAAAAAGCTGCGAGAACTGAAGGAGAAAAAGAAGCAAGAGACTAAACAGATCATAAAAGAAATTGAGGCATCCGATTCAGATGATAATATTGCAGTAAGTCCTACAAGCTGTTTTAAGTACAAAACACTTTATGAGGACTATATACAGTGCATAAATTGTTTCAGACGCTGTTTTTTCTTACTTGTGTTGCCGATGAACTTACGACTGCTCGGATGATCTTCCTTTTGAATGTAAATACTGTTAGTGTTAGTGCAATAACATATATTTCTCACAATATAGAAGATTACCTTGATGCAAACATGTGTTATATATTGTCGCTTAATAGTTTTGAATATATTGTTTGAAATCCTTATTTTTTTTCTGTTTGTTTTTGAAACTATATATTTTCGCTTTCGTTGACATTCAATACTTTTTGTTGCAGAAAATGAATATGTTAATAGAATAACATTTTAAAAAATACTTTGATGATTGACAAAACTCTTTTCTATTGTAGATTTGTGCCAATGTACCAAAATGTTGTGTATTGTTTACTCACATATTCATTTTAAAAAGTTGCCTCCATTTTTGGATTAGAACACCAATGTTCGGAATTCACTCATCATTCTGGTATCTAGGGGCAGTTGGTTAGATCTTGTTGATCGACGATAACGCCTTCTATTTGTATTCGTTAGGGTTCTATACTGGGCCAAAAATTGTTAGCAATAATTACTAATCTAGTAGAAGAGTTGTCTTCTCTCTTTAGTTTAAAGTGCTCATAATCCGACCGAGATAAAACGCGGCTTAAGTGTTCGGTAATAGGTACACCCCGCTCTAGTAAAAACTTTAAATACCTTCTTTGTAAAAACCAAAAGGCCTAGAGCTTAGATATTTTGCATAAGGCATCATCTGGTAGACCCTTACCAAGAATGTTCAAATTATAGCCCTGGGTCAAAATCGGCCCCGCCCCGGGTCATTGATTTTCGTTATATGTACAATATTAGTAAAAACTTAAAACACCTTCTTGTAAAGACCCAAAAGGTCTAGAGCTTAGATATTTTGCATAAGCATTGTCTGGTAGACCTCTACCCGATTGTTCAAATTATAGCCCTGGGTCAAAATCGGCCCCGCCCCAGGGGTCATTGGTTTTCCTTATATGTATATAGTAAAAACTTAAAAAAAAATTCTAGCAATTGACAAATGCTAGAGGTTAGATATCTGCATGAAACATTGTGTTGTAAACCTCTAGGCAAGATTGTTCAAATTATAGCCCTGGGGTCAAAATTTGCCCCCGCCATGGGGGTTATTGATTTCATATATACATATAGTAAAAAATCAAAAAAATCTTATTGTCTGAAGGTACAAGGCTTAAGAGCTTTAATATTTGTTAATAATTCATCTAAGGTACTCTACCAAAGTTGTTCAAATTTTTGCCCTCTTGTGTCAAAATTAGCCCCGCCCCTGGGAGCCATAGGTTTATCTTATATGTATATAGTTAAAACTTAAAAGATCATCTTTCTCTAAATTACAAAGGATTAGAGTTAAGATATTTTGCATGAAAGATGTGTAGTTACCTCTAGCAAGATTGTTCACAATTATAGCCCTGGGGTCAAAATTGGTTCCGCCTCGGGGGTCATTGATTTTCTTATTGTCCTAAGTGAAAAAACTATTGTGTATGAGGTTGATTGGCACAGCTTTGAAAATTTGAAACTGCGTGGGCATAGCTTTTTCTCAATGCAATTTGTTTTGCTTTAACTTGACTTGAACTTAATTCTGACCTAGAACGTAAGTCAAATGGAGTGAACTATGTACGAATTTGGTGATAACTTATTTATTTTGATTTGCTTTATACTTGGACGAGAAAACACATGACTACGAGGTAGTATTCAGTTGTGACTTTGTTCAATATGAAACTTGAATTTTAATATATATAGAAAATTAAAATTTTATGATAGGAGATACTCATTACATCTAAAATTATAATTCATTATCAATGATGTGTTTAAAATATAAGAATGAAGATTTAATATTATTATTATGTTTTAATAGTATAAACTTCAAGGAATTGAATATTAGTTAAAATAATTACAGAAAATAACTGAAAATTATATAGATACTTGATTTGACACTGATATTAAAGGAAACAATGAATATTGATTATATGAATTAAATAGATATGAAAATGATATAATTTATAATATAATTATTGCAATAAACAAAGATATATTAGTAGTTAATAAATATTAGTATAAAGTTAAATATGAAATAGAAAAAAAAAAATTAAGAATAGAAGATATAATATATATAATATTAATATATATATTTTGATAAATAAAGAATGAAGATATAACAATAATAAATATATATAAAAAAAAAAATATAATTATAAAATTATTAGAATAAATATAATAACTGAAAAAATAATAAATAAAGAGATATACTTATATATAAAGATATATAAAAAAAATATATGAAATATAGAATATAGTAAAATATTAATAATAAAAAAAAAAATAAAAAAAAAAAATAATAAAATATAAGATCTAAAAAAAGATATTAATTAAAATAATACAAATAGATATAATGAAGATAGATATATTAGATAATAATTAATGATACAGAAAATAATAGAGATATATATATATATAAGAAAATAAATATATATATATATAAGAAAAAAACAAAAGATAGAACGAGATATTATCACAAATTAAAAAAAAATATAAAAAGACGAAATAATGGATAAAGATAATAATAAAAAAATATAACTATAAATATATAGTATATGGAAATAAAGTAAAATGGAAATATTATATAAATAAAAATATATAAATAATATAAATTGTACTGAAAAAAAATAGAATTGGAGAATAAAAAAAAAAAAATAATGGATAAAGATAAGAAAAAAAAAATAAATACTAAAATATATAGTATATAGAAATACAATATATATAGAAACAGAGAGAAAAATAAATAAAGAGAGTATTAAATATAGAAAAAAAAAAAAAAAAAATGAAAGAATATATAATAAAATATATGATATAAATATATATAAATATAGAATAAGGAAAGATATATACAAATAATGATAAAGATAATAAGATATAAAATATAATATACAAGATTAAAAATATATAAAAAATATAGATTAATAGTAATAATAATCAATAGAACAATACTTTACAAAGAATTATTCAATCATCAAAGATATACAGTATATCATACAATTAAGAGCTAAGTGAAATAACCAAGAAAATAATAAAAAGACATAAAAAAAATATGAATAATAATAAATAAAAAATAGAAGTAATACCTACCCTAATATAAGATATGAACAGCAAATATCTAAAAGTTAGTCAAGTTTGTGTGGATATGTGGCTATTGTACTCAGAGATAAAATGGAAAAAGGGTGACAATCAACATTGAAATTTGCAGGAGCTCATTTTGACTGCAGTCTGATTTTCAATAAGAGGATGATGCAAAAGTTCAACGGTCCGTCGCACCTAGCACAGCTTTGCAGTACTCAATTTTCAACACTTTAAGTGCTGGAATACTTTACAAATGCCATACTAAAATGGACTGAAGTTACTTTTAGGCATATAAAAATTAACAACACTCGTGAACAGATCAGAGCCAAGCTATTAGATATAATTCATGTAAATATTGGATAAAAATAACAAGTAAATGTGATTTTTGAACACTTTTATTATCTTTTCTTAACATATTGTCCGTTAACATTGTGCAAATATACAGGGTAATGGTCTAAAATTGATAATTATTTTTAAGTAACAAAAATGTGATTGTTTCTGAAATATGAAAACTTAAGAAAACCTGAATTTTCTTATGCATAAATTGTGTCGTTTCTTACCCATTATTCTGCAGTATGATCTTTAATAATTAATATGAACGATATACACAGAAAAAATCTATATACAAAGTTTTAATACTGCACATGAGTTTGTTACGTTAATTTTTATTTGACAATCACAATGCTTAACATACATATACACTCGTCTAGTGCAAAGTTGTGAATAATTTATCATTTTTAACCAAGAGAAGAATGCAGTATTATAAATTTATTAAAAAAAAAAAATACAAAAAAAAATACATTTATTTTGAAAAAAATACAAAAAAATACAACACTTATCACAGATGAGCAGAGAATTTTGGCTAAGCCAATAATGAATTGTCATAAAATAATTGAAAATATTTAAAAATTTGTAATATATATTTATGCATATACATGAAAATAAAAATAAATATTTGTAAACTTTGAAATAAAATCTGTAAATATATAAAACTGTATTAAAATGTTTTAAAGGATAAACTTTTCTGGCATAAATTTGCAAGGATAAATGTGATTTGTTAAACACAACATTCCTAAAGATTGTGCCTTGAGATTAGTGATATTTCACTTGAATGCTCCAAATGAAAAATTCAATATTTGAATGAAATATTTATTTAACTCTACTATTAACTACAACAGTAACTGATGAGTATAAGCATTAATCAGTGAGATAAATTCTATATTACTCACTTTTCATAGTGAAATATTCAAAAATGCAGTGAATTTTCATCTCAGCATTTATTGCCATTAAATAAAAAAAAAAGCATTAAATTAAAAAGTGAAAATTTACTATATTTTACTTCTATAATTTCATTGCATTAGGTACATCATATGAAGGCAATATTTCAATCTATTTCTCCCTGTCGGATAAAAATTGAGTAATAACTTGATATCTACAGAATGTTGTCCTTTTATAAAATACATGAAACTGAATAATATCAAGCAGACTGTATTACACATTACATAAACAAGTTAACCAAAATAATAAACCATATGAAGATAAAATGTCAAGGATCTGCACACGACTCTTAACATAACGGTTTAAATGGACAAATAATTTATATTAAAATCATCAAATAACAAGCATGTCACAATAACAAAGATAGTAAAAAAAAAAAATATATATAAACGTATTTATAAAATTGTATATTATATTTATACACTTGTTTATTTTTACATCTTTTGCGATGTTCATAATGAGTTCCTATTGCTGTCAAATTAAAATTATTTTTTTTGGCCATGAACTTATCACAGAATTGATATACAGAATTAATACACAAAACAGTTCATGAACATAATTTATAGAAATTTCCTTAAATTTACTGCTTTTTAGTAGTTTGAAACTAAAATTGCTTTTGGTCGCTGGAATTTATGTTTTTTGGTAGTTGGAAACTGCATTTTGGTAAATGGAAAATGTGCAATTTTGTGAAGTTGGAAGAGAAGTTTTAATGCTGATGAAAAGAATACAATTTTTTTAATCACAATTTCTTTGACATTAAAAATATATTCGGAACACCCCGTATTATGATTGGCTTACCTACAACAAAATGTTCTCGTTTTAATGACATTGACTTAATTAACATCTTAATTTAAAAACTGGTGTACTTCCTATAAAACAATGTTTTGCCTATTTATTCAAAACTAATATATCTCCCTCAAACATTATCTCTCTGATCTTATTAAATTCCTCTATTAAGTAAATTTTCCCTTCTTAACATATTACCTCTCTGTTTAATATTATACATTTATCTCAACCTTATGATACATACTTCAATATGTTTAAGTAACTGGATAGATTTGTCAGTAATCCAGCCTTCTCACATAATTATGACATTCCCATAACTGGATTAAATCAGAAATAAATGTCTTGATGTAATATAAATATGTATGTAATTATTTATTATACATACATTCACTATTTAAATTCACTTTATTCACAACAACAATCATGTACAAAATTTGCACTGTATTATGATAAATGTCTTAGTTTATAGGTGCCACTGTGGGTCTCTGTGACTCTATTCTTGCTGGAATATTCTTAAATCTGAAAAAGATATAAATAACATCTTAGCCCTTAATCTTTCTGAGTTTCTTACTTGAACTGTTCAACTTCTGTTTTTGGAACAGTCCATTCTCAATTTCAGGGATATCTAAATAACTAACTAGGTAGGTTGCATTGATACGTTTATAATTGATGCCCTGGCTTAAATTGGGAGCAAAGGTAGTCATTTTAGTTAACAACGTTTATTAATTAACTACAAGAAGAGCGAAATTAAGTGGAGTTTTGCAAGTTTAATTCTTTAAGATTTCTTTTAATCAGGTTACTTTTCATGAACATTTTCAGGTGCAATATTGGGCACCTATAATTTATTGTATATTGAACCACATAAGTGAAAATTTATCCAGTGTAGAAGTCAAGAGTTAGAAAAGTAGAATGGAACAATATTTAAATATTTTCAAGGAAAGTCACTTATAACTCACTGAATTTTATTATTATTTAATACAGATAAAAAGGGAAAAGTAACGCACCTAGTCATCTTAAATGGATCTCTTTGTACGGGTTTTTGTAACTGGGCTTCTCGTAATCTCTGAGTCTCGGTTTGACGTACAGAGTATCCTTGTTTACCCTCAGAGTGCCGAGATGATTGTTGGGTACCTGCTCTGGAAAATAAAATATTTATCTTTTTATTTATGTCATACAAAAATCATAAAAAATATGATATTATTGTAAGCATATCATTACTGTTATGGTTATGTGGCGCCTTACCCAGGTATATACTGATTTAGGTACTCCTAAGGTGCCTAACTGAATGGTGCTTGTATTCATTCAGGCATTTCATGCTAAAACACCTCAGTAAAACCACCAAACTCCTGTATAAATTTTGCATGAAAATCTTAATTGTGATAATAATACTTCTGTTCACTTTAAATAAATCTTCTCATTATAAAGAAATAACAAGAATAGGCCCTGCATGTCCCGGAAATATAAATTACATTGAAATGTTAAAATATGAATCAAGGAGTAAAATGAAAATACCAAAATACTGCTAATATCATAATATATATTAAAATAAGCACAAACAATTCATATACATTTAAAAAAGCACAAACATTTTCTATAAATTTAAGAAAAAGATGTACAAAAACCCCTCCAAACTTTCCTATATATTTTGTAAAGAGATAAAAAATGTGAAAAGCAAATGGGGATAGTGCAATCTAAGGGAGATAACTATCTGTCTTCTATAATGAGTAAACATGTTTAAAATAAATCAAAGAGAGACAACATAGTGAAAATGATATTCAGAGTGTGAATAGATTGTGAATTTTAGTAAAAAAAATTCAAAAAAATCTTTATTTAAACCTTTCTGACATTCCTTCCTCATTTTGGATGAGTTTGAGTTTTTGCTAATATAAAGGTGAAATGCGAACACTGAAGGTGACTCGATGAGAAATATTAATGACAATGTTGATTCAAATTGGCATAGATGAATACATGTTTGTATTGTTAATGCTTAATAAGATTCCTATTTAAATGCACCTGTTCAAAGACTGCCTTCACTGCCAACTGTGACTCAGGAAGCATGAAGTATGCCATTTTTGCATTAATATCCCCCCCCCCAAGACACACCTGCAGAAATATTCAACATTAATTTTTGTGTGTAGTTTATGGAATATGATGATGATGAAAACACAAAACACTTACTCTATAGGAAAGTTTATTTTCAAGGTCAAACCTGACTTAACATTAGATATATGCTAACTTCATTGATACTTCCATACTAATTTTTTCATACAGGGGCGATAAGCTTTTGTGCCATTTAAGGATCACATGTTTAACCACAAGAATTAAGCAATAATTGATTAGCAAAATAACCAGTTTCTCTATCAAACGAAACAAACTTGGATAGCATGCAACTCTTTTGTTTTGTCAAATACCTATCTAAATCTGAATGTACAGCCGCTGAGCGTTTTCCAAAATTTACTTCATACTCCGATCTTATTTTGAATTCATCAGAGTTTGGCGGTATATGGGTCATCTGTCTATGCCTCGTTCGTCCAATTTCCTGTTTCTCCTGCCATGTTTTCAACTCATCTTGCCACTCCCGTTCATATGCGTAGCCGAGAATTTTACTGATTTTAGTCTTATCCGCAGCATCTGTTGCGGGCCTGCCAGTAAAAATATTAGTAAAAGATCTATTCTAAATATAGTGCAATGTATCTAAATATAGTATTTAATTGTGCAAAACAAGTGAAAATAATCCTATTACCTATACCTATTATATAATCCTTCCCAATAATGCCATTCACCTACAGTGCTTTTTTTTAAAGGTAAGTAATAAAATCTGCGGAATTATTTCTGAGTTTTATTTCCCTTTCCCAAAAAAGTATTTACTTTTCCAGTGCATCATTTTCATAAATAATGCACAACCAATAGACAAAAATGGTCAATTTTACCAAAAAGCGAGCAAATTTTTTTTTAGTTTTTAAGTGATAAAGCATTGGACTGTTGTATTGTGCTTAATATATAAAATGGACTGTTTCTAAAAAAATTCTATATTTTCCCCTCTATATATTCCGCTCTCCATGGGCCCGCCACCTTTAAATTGGAAAAAAGCACTGAGGTTCATGAATGACAATTATACAATCATCATATCTAAAGATATGGTATCAATATATATTTTCTTCTGTGATAATAATATTCTGTGAAAGACTACTGTGATTTCATTTGATTTTGTGGGCATTTAAATTTCGTGGTTTTGTCACAAACAAGACATTATTTATGTGCGTTTTCTATTTCATAGATGGTCTTTTTTTTACATATTTAACTAAAATACAAATAATGTAATGCAAAATAATCTTACAGCTGATAAAACAGAATTTTGTTGGATTGGATGTTAGAATTTGCGAAGTAACAAAAACTACGAAATCAATGCCCTATGAATTATAATGATATCACAGTAATTAATCTAATTCAAAAGTGACTTCTCTTACAGTGACAGAGCATTTTTATATGAAATTTCAGTGTAAGGTATAACCAAGAAAAAAGGTCATAAAATCAAAGAAAACTCAAGACCAGTCTAAGAACATTATCATGAATTACCATTGCCTCATTGGTCAATGTTTCTTTCAAAATTAGAAATAAGCCAATCAAAAGCAGGCTTTTTTAAATACAGACTGGTCTTCAAGTTTTTAAACCGTTATAACCTTATTTCCTATATACAGAAGTCTGTCAACACAATATTCTTAAAATTTATTGTCGAATCCAATTTCAAGTGCAACCTTATCCGTGATAAATAAAAAAAACCCCACCAAATTCTTGGGAAAAATTACTACAATATGTGTTAAAATACACTACGTCTCTGTCCCAAATTTGTTACTAAATTTTAAAGCTAAGGTGAAACTTTGATCATCAAGGTCATAGATTAAAGTCATATATAAGATGTAAAAGTCAATACAAATAAGACTTGTAATCTTGACATTGTGGGTTTGATTCCTGGGCTAGCCAACTAAAATTACTAATAAGTCTTAAGGCAATTTTATTTAAAGTAGAAAAACAGCCATAATTATGTCAATTTCATTCAATGCAAAATTCCTAAATTTATCTTTGAAGCAATAAAATGTAATACTTGTCGTCGAAACAAACAATAAATACATTTGTATCTGATGATCATTCTATTCTTAACAAACACATATTTTTATAAAACATGTTATGAAAATTTCACATACTTAAGATAATTTTCACTATCATATATAAATTGCAATAATTTATTTAAATATAAGAAATTTGTAACAAAATTTAACAAAATTCATCTGAGTATTTTTCTTTTTCAAGCTCTGTTAAACAAAAAATGTAAACAAAAACACCATGCCAGCAAAACAAGTAACAAGCAAACAATTTCTAAATAAACACAAAATTAAAGTTTCTGTTGAAAAAAACACACAATTAATTCTTTCAAATTCTAAAACCACTGAACAACTCAATACCATGGGTGCCTGATTTATATCATAATCATGTCATATATGTTGTCACTAGGGAAATGGGGACAATAAATCACAAAACCTGTTGTCGGAAAGGGCCTTTACCAGTTATTTTTGAGAAAAAGGCCCCACGCTTAAATTTTGAAAAATCATGTAACATTTTTGAAAATGTGAGAAATTTTAAGGATATATAGTTGATAAACTACCTTACACATGACTTGTAAGTTTTATTCATCTTCTAATGTGTCTCTTCTGTTTAGAATCTAAGACAAAACAGTTCAATTTCGCTCAGCAGTTGAAACAGTTTGAATTTTTTTTTCTGCAGCTATGGTATTTTGTTTTGTTTGTGTTGTTGTTGAAATTTTGGAAAAGGGATTATTTTGGATTGGGAATGGGGGCTATATATTGGCCATTGTGATAGGGCAAGAATACCCCATCTTCTTTTTGACTTGTAGACACATTGTTGCAATTGACAGCATCTGTGACAATGGCATCATCACAACAAATAATTTATCTATGCATGTATAAAAGCGACCATACATAACAATCCCTTAACCTGCTGAATTTGTGTAATGGATTTGCCCAACTTTGAATGTGGAACAGTCCATTCATAGTTTTAGGGATTTCAATATCACAATACAAAAACTGTCAGCTACCAACAGTATAATGGTTCAGGTTAGTCTGAAAGATGTGCCAACTGGCCTGAACCTATATTTAAGTGGCAAAGACACTTTCAGTTCCAGTTTACACAGTTTCACCAACATGATAATTGTTAGTAACATTTTTGCAAAGTAAAAGACAATGTTATAACTGCTCCTGATGTACTACTTAAATACTTACTTCTTTCTTCTTCTATCTTTTTTGTCTTCCCTTTTTGATAAAATTTATAGTTTGTAAATACTTGTACTTGTTAATAAGAGCTTTACTTACTCATTCTGTGCATTTTTCAACCTTTTTTCAAAGACGGGTCTGACAAACAAGTCTCAAATCCCCATGCCAAATATTGTTTAGATAATTATATATTCAAAGTCCAAATTTTAGTTTTTACGTTTATAATCATTTCTCCCAATTTCAGCATCAGTAATTTTGAAAATTTCCAAACTGAACTAACAAAGACCTGTTCCAAACAAGGTTGAAAGAAGCACTGTCATACTATATATAAGACAAAGGCATTTTGTATTGAAAGCTACTCAGAATGTTTTAAATATTTTACTTTGATGAAAAAAGAAAAACAACAAAAAGAAAACCTCCATTCTGCGTCCCAGCTTACAAAATAATTGCATCCAAAAACAAATTTTTGCAATGATTCCACTGTGAATTATGTCCTCCCAACCTTGTAAATTATTCTTGGCGTTGGATTTTATGTCTGTCACCAACACATATAGTCATATGGGTGCCTGTTCCAGCTTTAAGTTAGTGAAGGAGACTAGGGCTTCATGCAATATTTCAGGCACACTTGGCACTGGTAGAACATTGATGTCCCCCGTATATAGTGCTGGATAGCTTCAACATATGTATTGAAGAATCTAAAATCCTTTGGATTTAGACCTAATGTAACGACAGTGATGGGAAAGTGGTTTGAAGTTAACAACCTTAACCACTCAGACTCACGTATGCCTCACTCCATCATTACTTGTAATAAAAAAAAGAAGATTGCTTCAATTATGCAATAATTTAAAAACTTGATCTAAAGTCTTACATTGGTAAATATTTCAGAGGATGTGGTCCTTTCCCGGGATCTGTCTGGGCGGACTGTGGCTTATTCCTGAGTGCTCTAGGTAACGGCTTATCTCTCCGAACACCATACCCTGGTTTCTTAACTTCCGGTAATTTGACTGTTTTGTCTGTTGCATTATTTCCTGGTTCCCTTTCGAACACTGATAATTTGTCAAATCCCAACGGTCCCCGGCCTGGTCTCATGTATTCTTTATTAGCGTCTTCCTTGTATGCCTCGTGCACCATGTAATCTGGTCGCAGAAAATCATAATCTCTGAAATGGAAAATTTTTTAATTATATAATTATGAATAGTGAGTGTAACTGTTATGAATAGTATTAGTGTTAAAATTTGTTGTTATTAAATGGCACAGCTTTAAGTTCAAATATGATATGAATTTTTAGCTGTCAGTAGGACAACAATGTTAAGAGTCTGGATAATCTAAGTTTTAGAAGGGCTAATTTATCTGTCAAAAATTTGTGTTAGAGTTATGGGCCTTGGACAGTGACCTATTATGCTCTCAACTTAGTGTGTAAAGTTTTAACCCATTCTCTTTAGATACAAACTAAGTGCATGCAAAAACTTTGCCACAGTGTGATCTAAGTCCTCAGTAAACTGTTGAGTCAGTATCTATTTTAAAATTTCCCCTAATAATTGGTGGTTTTGAGCAGACTGAAAGAAGGAACATGATATTACCACAGGAACTTGAAACTCTATAAAATAACCAATGTTAACGATAACATCCAAAAAATATCACTATATAGTATAAATTAATAACTTATTTATACTACATTGTATATAGGGGGTATTTTTCTAATAATATTGTTAGTATTGGTTATTTATGACAGTGTTTCAAGTCCCTGTGATATAACTAATCACCTAATATGACCAAAAAAAATGTAACCAAAAGATCAGAAAGTAACTAAAGGAAAAAGAAATAATTGCTACCAAGTTTTAATATTTACATTTCATTTTTCCTTTTTTCAGCCTCATCTTCCATGGCATTATCTTCTAGATAGAACCATTCATTTCTTGGATAATAAACTGGTTCACGTCTGTTGGCATCATTCTCTTTTATTTGTAATAAATCTAGAAAAAAGAAAACATTAAAATATCTGTATAACTTTAAAAATAAAACATGAAATTCTATCTTAAATTCATGACAGGTCATTATCTATATTAAAAGAACTATACGTAAGAAAATTTTATGATCGTAAATTTTACTAACTTGCTCTTCCGCCTTGTTTCGCAAGCCTGATATATTTTGTGTCCGAGTCTCTAAACAATGGTCTTGGAGGATCCTCCGGCGTACCATCATCCTCGGCAAGGCCAGGAACCTGTGACATTGGAGGATATAGAACTGGTTCCTTGTTCCGCCTTGCTGCAGGTGCATGGTAAAACCAGCCTGTTAAAATGATGAGAAAGTCAAATTTATGTAATAGTTAATAAACATATAGGTTAAGTTTTATTTACCAACTCTAGTTCATGTAATACATAAAATAAAGAGAAATTATCTTCATAAATACATTAATTAATAAATTAATGCTTTCTAAATTCATACAAGTTCTGAGGAAAGCACTTATCTAATGTGTCTAAATAGATAAAAAAAAAAACAAAAAAAAACTGAGTACTGAATTGTGTTACAATTAACAAAAAAATGTCTTGACTCAGTGCAAACAACATTTAAATTTATATTTTGAAAAGTTGCATAAAACAAAAATAGCTCCATAAATAAAAGAACAGCTCTTTAATAATGCTGGTCAAATTCACGCAAGTTCTGCCCAATTGTGATTGTGTAGGTGTATTGTAGATAAAAAAGAAGCAAAGATTTTAAACACGAATTACACAACACAGAAAATACCATAGGCCTTTGTGCCTGCAAATGATAATAAACACTTTAGTGAGATAAGAATTTAAGTCCATCACGATCTCAGATGTAAACATGATGAAGTAACTAAGCTAAATACCTGATAATGATTCAATGAACTATTAAAGCAGTAAATTATTGCGACTCTTTAAATTGGTGATAAATTTTGTTGTTGTCGTAAAAATACAAAAATTACATCCAATAATTTTATTAATGTATATTATGATAAAAATATGAGTATTACTAAGATCAACAAAGGAATGCAACAAAGACATTCTTAATTGTTCTAAGCTTATTCTAAAATACAATGGCATTCAGACATACAATGTAAATGAATGATGAAGAAAGAAAAAACTTTTGTGCTGCAAAAATTGCAAAAAAGAAAAAGACCTTTAATAACTATTAGCTGTAGTCAAAGTTTTCTGCACAAGTGAAAAATACAAAATAAATTCCATTTGCAAAATGCAGAGAAGAAACATCACAATATGTCAAGTAACAATTTAAGGAACCCTCAACACAAATTCTCATTACAATACAAACTCTAACTCTACCTTGAAGGTCGTTATAATCGTCTGTGTACTCCTCTTTAAAATTTAAAACAACAACAATGTAATCTATTATAAATAATTTAATAATAACACTTCAATACATAATTGTCATTGCACCTTGAAATATCAAAGCACAGTGAAAGCACCTTTTTTACATGGTACTGTTGTGATTACTGATAAAGGATCCTTCAAACAGCCTAGTTGTTTAGTTAATACTTTAGCATTTATAATCAATAGATCTCAGCTTTAAACCATGGTAATTGTGAAATACAAATGCTCAGAGAGGTTACAGAATTATAATACAAAAGACTTGGTTTCAATATTATTTTAAAATCTTAACTTTATTGTATGCTGATTTTCCTGGAGAGACACTATATCAAAATTTTAACTCTTTATTTATGTTTGACATTAACTGAATCCCTCTCTAAATAGACCCAGAGTTTAACTTATATTTGTGAATTTCTGAGTGAACTGATAGCGCATGCACAAATTGATATTTCAACTCACATTAGTGCATCTCACATACTTCTTTCTGTTTGCTGATGTACCAAATAATTTAAATACTCATATTTGAGTACACATGTAAACAGTCTTTAAAAATTGTTAAACTTTTATAGGATCTGGAATAGGATACATCAATTTTAAATGCATAAAAACGATTCCACTTCAAGATGATGTTGCTAACATTATCAAGAATTGCCAGTGTCTTTTTGTATTAAAGCAATATGTTTGAACATTATGATTTATAAACAGGGATCAATTTTGGACACATTTGGCTTATCCGAATTCTATTACACTTGAACAAATTTAAACTCGTATTTTTGTTATTTCATCGTGATTATCGATACATTGCAGTAAAAATCAAAATTTATTGTTACCTGCTTCATTTTGGTTCGGATTTGTTGCCATTTTAACGATAACAATTGAATTTCAACGTTTTTTTTAAAAATCCGATCTTGTTTTATGTAGCAATAGTTTGGTCGTAACTTGGCAACGCAGAGCTAGTCAGCTGTGTCCGCCTATTCGATAATATATTATACTTTTCACGCAGTATATTTTTAATTGTAGTATTTTTTCAAAGTTTAAATTTCACATTTTATTCAAAAATTCAATAAATAATTCATAATTAATTGAAAATAATCGCATTATTGATTGATTGAAGTTCGAAACTAAATTACAGTAGACGAAAATTATTGTATCGTTGTCATCCATTGTAACAACCGGCGCCTCCCCACCATTTCCCAATAAAACTGAAGGAAAACACGGCGCCCCGTACTCACTTCTTCATTTCTTTATCAATTTAAATAATTTTGATATCAAATGAAAAAAAATTCATGAGCTCTCTAGGAATTTAGCAGGAAGATTAAAATTATTTTCAAAGTTTACAGTACATTTCCCCCTCTGAAAACCACACTGAAATTCTAGCTGTGAGAAAAACTCGGCGCCCCTATTCTTAATTTCTCAAACAATTTTAATAATTTTGATAAAAAATCAAATATTACTTTATAATTTCTCCAGGGATGCCTTTAAAATACAAATGAATTAAGTGAAAGTATGAAAAAACCATTTTTTTTTTTACTTTTTCCTCTGAAAACAACACTGAAATTCGGTAAGAATGAACACGGCACCCCTCTAGTAACTTCTTTATTTCTTAACCAATTTTGATAATTCTGGTAACAAATGTATGATTACTTCATAAGTAGAAGTATTAAAATTTCTGTTTAAACACTTTTTCCTCTGAAAACCACACTCTAGCTGAAATAAGGGAACCACGGTGTCCCCTATTGATAGAGGATATTCAAGTTTTTTCTATAAATACATGATTTATTTTCATTGAGTGGTATGAAAATAAATATTCCATGAGTGGCGGTAGCCACGAGTGAAATATGGTAATTTTCATGCCACAAGATGAAAATAAATCATGTATTTATAGAAAAAACTTGAATTTTCTGTTTATTATATACATTTTTCTCTTTTTTGATATTAAAATTTGAAAGATTTTCCCGTACTGGCAGAATTTAAAAGAAAGTAGTCTGACAAGACACCAGTGAAAATACGGAAAATATGTTTCACTGCAGTGAAAAATAAATTTTTACAGTGAAAATACGGAAAATGAAAATACGCATTTTATTTCATCAATATTTCTCAATATTTCATTTATAAGTATATAATAAACTTCTTTATTTTTTAAAACCAATATTAAAAATATTTTTGTATCAAATGGAATATTTGTTTATAAGCTTTCTAGGGATAACTTTTGAAATGAAATTGAATTAAGAAGAAGTTTTAAACAATTTGTTTCAAAGTTTATCTCGTTTCCTCTGAAAACCACACTCTGAGATTCGGTTAGAAAAACTTTGCTCCTCCCTTTTAAATCTATATCAATTAATTGATTTTCAAATGTTTGCAGTAGAATAAAAATATTCTTCATTTATTACTAAAAGAATCTCATTCAAAGTTGCATATAAATCGTTACGGAAAAAAAGTACTCTTTTCGGAAAGGAAAACACGTCTATTTATTTTTCATTTCGATATATAATGACCTTTCCATTTATTGGTTGATTTAAAAAATTATTATAATGACTCACTTGAAGTCGGTCTTTTTCCAAATCGCGTATATATTTCTCCATATAACGAAATGAAAATTTGGAGCAAAATAATACATGTAGTTACCATAATCATTTTAAATTGAATAAATTGTCGTGATGTTAAAATCAGTTGAAACTGTTTAAAACACCATTCGTGCTATTACGTTGCGGATTAGAAATTCCATAAGTTTCGAGGTTCCTATATATAAAATTCTTTACAGCAATATAGGCCTAAGGCACAAAGCTATTACGCAACAAAATTGGTTGTTTATTTTTCCTCGATTCAAGAGTTCCGCGTGACATGGTCTTTTTTGACCTGTGACTTGTACCGTCTCCATACAACGTGTAAAATGTTTAATAAAAAAACAGCATTTTCTGCCATAAGAATGTATCAGTTTGCAGGTTCTTCTTTTCAGCCATATAAGGCATACTGCTCTAGCTCAAAGAAAATGACCTCCAAAATATCGCGACGCATGGTTGTTTATTTGGAATGTAATTTGGATATTGAGATGAACGCAAGCATTATAGCACGAAATTACAAGAAATCTCGCCATGTACTGTGAGTCACGCAACAATGAACGCTACGTACACATACAAAAAATTTAGTCATCCAGTAAATTGTATTATTTCCAAGATTTTTATAAAAACAAAACCCGTTTAAGAGGTTCGTAGAACTCAAATATATTTGAATACAACGATTTTTAACGTATATGTCTCCATTCTAAAACCGTCATTTTCCGATGTTACTAAAAAAAGCACACTAGTAACAGCGGAAAAATGACGGTTTTAGAATCGAGACAACTACGTTAAAAATCGTTGTATTCAATTAAATTTGAGTTCTACAAACCTCTCAAACGTTATTTCAAGTGCCTATGATTTGTTCCGACATATCATTATACTACATACATCTCGTGAAAAGTACTAACTGCTTTTACCATTTATCTAATTTTCAATTTTACCGTTTTGGGCGTTCTTGCTCAAACGACGAAAATATTTCACCCTTTGATTATTGTATAAATATCTAAACATCCCGTATTGATTTCTAATATAAATGTGAGCACGAGAACAATCGCTTAAAATTACGTCATATTAAAACTGTCACAGTGCCCAAAACGTGATATAAATAGATAAAAAGATAAGGCTATATTGTCCTGCTTAATTTCTTGTCACAAAATATAGGTTTAAATCTATATCAGTGCTATAGAAAATAAATATTGGTGCTATAGAAAATAAGTAGTCAAATATTTACATATTGGTTAGTGACAACATGTTTTGGGCCATCGATTTAGGTAAGAATTGTAAATGGGGGTGTGCAGTATCAAATTTTATTAGAAAACACTTTTGATTGGTACAAACATTTATATAAAAACAATGATGGAGAATTTAAATTTGGCGACGAAAAAAAATCTTAATGGACACAGTTGAAAGAAGTCACTGTGTTAATCACATTAAAGCAATAAGTGTTGAAACTTTCAATTTCGTGATGATACATTTTACTTAAAGTGTTAATTTGCAAGGAAAATGTACTGTTATTTGACTATATATTTTCTAAAAAGACAATCCAAAGTTTTTCCAATTAATGTTGAAAATTTGTAGCTAGATTACATCTAATGAACGCTATATTGTGAGTATTATGCACTTATTATAATTGTCTTTATTTTTTATTCATTTCACATAATTATATAATAAGTTATTAATAAAGTTATCGGTTTATTGCTGCGTGATCGTAAAAGGCGGCTAAATGAGTTTGAATAACTGGTGTCAATGCATCTCTTAGCTCTAGTAGGTGAGGTAGTTATGACCCCTGGTGTTGCAGAGATTTGTTACACCCGAGATTAACTAAAATCATCTTTCCCGTTTCGGCGCCATGAGACCTTTGCTATGTTAGTGCGCCGTAAAACTTAACAAACAAATATTGCTATCGTATATCTGTAAGTAAACTGTTGGGAATGTCAGGCCATGCTTGGTCAGATTACATGGATGTGCAGGCTGTCATGGCTGAATAGATGCTTTTTACATAATAACTGTTAAAGTGTTAGACTTCTAGCTGTAAAAAGTTGCCCCGTACTTCACGTCAGTGTTGTTATATTTTTCTGGTCCTTCGGGATCATTGATACCAGCACTATTAAGTGTTGAGAATTGAGTACCGCTCAAGCCGGTGCTAGGGGGCGTGAGGGATGTTGCACTTATTCAGTATTCCTCATGTACAGACTCAATCAAACCGAGTCTGCAAATCTTATGTAATTTTGTTGTGATTAATGCTTCCGAGGGATCACTTTCTTCCCAGATTTCTATTCATTTTTTAAATGATTACGGACATTTAAAGAATATCTTAAAGAAGCATATTTTCAAAGAACAGTAGATATTAATAATTATTGTATATAAATAATATTTTCAGTAACTCTGATTGCATTTGTGCTGTTGCAATTCGCGACCACGACATCATTTACCACGTGCGAAGACATTGATGCAATAGCGTGCAAGGACATGTATTCTCAGAACCTTCAAATCTGTGACGACACCATACTCAGCAACACGGCATGTCCTAAATTATGCAACAAATGTCGTGAGTTAAATTTTCCTTATCACAAATTAGTAATGCATTGCTATATAAATGTTTATCATGTCTACCTTTACATGTAGTTTAAATAATAAAAATGTACATGTTTAATTTATATTTCAGACGTTTGCTACTTAGAATGAAAGCATATGCACGGTTAAAGAAAGCATATGTAAAATCATAATTATGTACAGTTGAAGAATGACAACATCAAAAGCATACAGTGTTAATTTCATTTTTAAAAACCAATTACAGTTAAAATTCTACATCGCATTTAGAATTATGTTGTTCCCATAATATCATGTTGAATTCTCAGAAGAGCTGTTACATAAAATGCTTTTTTTTATTCAAACGCACAACATGTCAACATATTAATATTTCCTTCGTTTCAAAGGAATGGCAAACATGAATTTTATAACATTTAAATAATGGTATTAGAGATGTCAGATGCTTACTACTAAAGAAAGTTACGCGGAATACGGATTTATTTGTCACTGTTTTGTTACTGTATTTAATGCCAAAAAGCAACAGATAGCTCGTAAAAATTGGCAATGAGTATATATTTCTGAGCTATAACATTTTTCTTTCACACAAGATTTTGGAATTATTCTTTAGAAACTAAAAACATGTAACGTAAACACTATAAATCTGGGATTCGAACGTTTGAACAAATTACGTCTTTTTGATACTATGACTATGGGAACTAAAAATCGTACTCTGTACTGCTTCAATGCGTTTCTATATTTGGTGCTAAATAAAAAAAAGACTTCAGAAATAGTACCGGTTATCTTTTTGTTTACATGTGTCGCCTTTCGACTTCATCATTTCTTATGTCACAGGTCACGAGGAGAAGCCATCCTGACTATAAGCAAGACAGAGGCGTTAGTTGTAGAGTGGTTAAAGTCATCGATTTTGAATCACTTGCTCCTTACGGTTGTAAGTTCGAATCGCACCAGAGACTTCGAATTCTTTCATGTGAGTAAGCATTCTAGCTGACTTACGGGACGTCGGTGGTTCTACTCAGGTGTTTGTGCCAGCATTTAGTTTCGCCAGTTATCCTTTTAAGGACATACGGGCTTTTGGAATGCCATTTTACCAAAGTTGTTCACTGTACTTACAAATTCGATCGCTTTCTACTAACATTTTTGTTCTGCTTGATCATGGCGGTGCCCCAAGATAGGTAGGTGTACGACCTCTAAAATTGTACCCTCTATGAGTGGAATGAATGGTTTTACAAATTATATTTTCAGCGTTGGTATGCTATAACTGCAACATGACATCTGGTACAAACAACTGCAATTTAAACACATGCGCTACTGGAGAGGTCAGTAAAACACGTTTTGTAACGTATTTTAGTGAAATCAGCAGACGTAAAAGCTTCTAACACCGTCCTATTGGTTTGGAAACAAAACAATACAATAAAGAGCTATGCCATTTGAACTCCGACGATGTGTAGACTGTCCGATTTCAAAATTGAGTTTAATTAGATTAGGCATTTCATGCATTTTATATGAACATTTCAATACGGCCATTTCCAATGTTATCGTCAACAAATGTCATGTGACTACCCACGCTGATATCAGTCCGTCAAGATATATCTTAATATTTTTGTATTTGTATATACCGGTATTTTATCTGTTTCTTTAATTATAGACCGTGTATATTTAGTGTTTGCTGTTAATATTTAATTTCAGGTATGTGTAACATTATCAGACGCTATATACTGGTGCCCACAAGTTTACTTTACGATGTGCAGACAAATCGGTAGATTTTATTGTCTTTTGATTTTTTATTGGTCAAACTGTATATTAATTATAAAAAAATAGTCCATGCTTTTGTTTCCAATGATGCAAAGATGTGGAAAAGAACCATCGCTTGCAATTTGCAAACTAGTTTATAAATTAGTACCTGAAGATGTTTTTGAACGCAAACTTATTTCCATTGACTGGATTGTAGTACTCGTTTAATTTACCTTTGTAAATTACACTTTAAACATAAAATAACAATTATAGTTCACACGAATAAGTGCTTGGCACGTTTTATGTGTTATAAAAGAAACATAAACTTCTTTAAGGTTTGTGGAACAGCCGGGTGGATTAAATGTTGCTCCGAACCCCTTTGTAATGACCCAAGTGTTCTTACCACGCCGATAACACCAAAAACAACCACCACTTCATTCACTACAGACATGACAACTCCAATCACAACAGGAAGAACAGCAACTACAACAACTACCATTAAAACAACACCAGTGACAACAATGTCCACAACAACAGTGACAACAATGTTAAAAACAACAGTGACAGCAACAGGAAATACTGCTACATTTACACCGACGACTTCAGCAAAACGAGGTTTAATTTACAAAACGTCATAAAATATGGGTGCCTTTTACGACTACATGTATTTACAAAAATCTTAATTCTTTCAAAAAAGACACCTATGTACGAGCAAATATTGAAGTAGTTTATAAAAATAGACAATATTTTCTTTGATTAGAACAAAAATAGTCATGTCTGTCTTGTAATATGCTCTTTAATGCATTATAGCAACATTAATTAGTACAGCAGACAGACGACAAACAAACAGAACAACAACAACAACGAATCTGATATATCTGTAGTATTTTTATATATTTATTTTTAAATATTGATATACATTTGATGCTTTACTTTCAACATGTCATAAAGATATCATTTTCGTCGTGGATGAGTCCCCGTCAATGTCACCTTATTGGACACACATGATATCATTCGCCAAGAGTTTAGTACAGCAAATAAATATCGGTGGTGTCAGTGGATCGCGCCTTTCCTTTACCACGTTTACTTCCACTGCCAACACCAGATGGCAACTAAACTCGTAAGAGTATTCAGTAAATCTCTAAATCATGAACTTCTAGTGTACAATTATTTTTTTTTTCATTTTATTTCATTTTATTAAAAGTGACAATATTGTAGAACCTTGCAAGGTAATGTAAATGACTTACCTATCTAGATGCCTGTATGCACTTACATGCCTGACTAATGAATGGATTAGTTTCACCTATTCAATGTGCATTCAGCACCAATGGCTGCTTCTATAGGAATAATCAAAATCCCTTGGCCCTTCGCAGTCAGGGGTTACAGCCAATCAAAGGTCATATAACGTATACTCACGTTCTCAACCTATTCCTACCAAGGTCCGTGAGTACTATATACTAATACAATATATTAAATGTATACGAGCAATTTTCGATGGTAACATTTCTTCGACAATTTAATTTGATTTATTGTAAGACATTTTAAGAATGAATCAATTAAAGTAAATTGCATTTAAGTACTCTTTCATGACTGAGAGAACTACTTTCTTTTCAGATACGCTACTGCCTCAGGTTTAGAACGTGTTTTGGCAGATGCTAGGCGAAATGGAATCTACGGGGCTGATAATTTGGTAGGAGTAAAGTATGTTAACAATCAAGCACTCTCCAGAGCAAACGGAAACAGGCGTGATGCTTCTGATGTCGTGATTTTCATTTCGGGAGACAATGTGCTATCCCCAACTCTAGATATGACCGCTCAAGTACAAAGCAATGAGACGGCCGCTCTATATGAGCACTTTAAAAATATCATAGCTATTGGAATTGGAAGTACAGTTAATACACACCAGATGTCGCTCATTGCAACCGGAAGTTAACACATGTTTTTCATTCCTCCCGGAAGTGACTTCAAAAACATTGAAAACAAAGTGTTACATCTTATATGCGATATATAACTAGTAGAGGTTGCTCTAAACTAGTGAAACTTAATCAATATTGCACTGATTAATGTATTTTTTATAAATTCATTGTGATTGTTGTATAAATTAATTAACTATCTCTATCATAGTTTATATTATGACTTAGTTTAGACATGCTGCCGGCTTTTTAAATTTTCTTTTGACGTCTTGTTTGTAATGTAGCTGCTTGTAGGGAATCACCAAGAATCCCTTGCGGCTCTTTGTCGTCAGGGGAGACTACGAAACAGATATACTAACGTACTCAACCTATCTCATACCAATAGGAGGCAGCTATCAATTAAAAGACTGCTAGGACTCAATGAAAATACCGGTACTTTCAAAGTAATCAATGCATTCATCATCATTAAATCTTAATCGCACCAAAGATGGGTTGTTTGACATCCGCTTCTGGTTCAGTGATGACAACTGCTTTTTAAAAGGTTAATTTAGAAATAAAACCACCACTTTTAGAGGTCAGAAATTGTACACAAACCGATTAGCATTGAGTTTCAAGAAACTTCTTTAGAATTTTGCAAGTAATTTTACGTCTTTGTGTCGTATCGTATTGATTTTCCCATAGAGTTACATTATGCTAAAGAAGTCCCTTTTCTAGGAGAATGAAATGCCTGACACATTAAAATGATCTTTTTAAATATGGGTAGCCAACCATTTTTTTAAATGACTTCTAAGAATATAGCCCATCTTTTCATTTACATTTTCTGCTGAACACAGGACTGACATACTCCTTTTATTAATTCAAATATATATAAGTCACAAGTCACAAACTATCCTAGAGACTCATGAAACATTTCTTTTTTTAAAGAAAACAATGTAGTGTTAGTTTCTTAATTAGTTTTCCTTCTTAAAAACACCACATTTTCATCCAATCACCTGATGTTCCGTTGAAACTTTTTGTTTTCCCTAGCCAATCGCTGGCCATGCTACAATACGATAGTTTGACCTCAAGGTGACTTCCGTTCATGGCACCAAACTATATATTTAGCACACTTAATGGGCTCTACATTAAAGTATTCAAACAGTTTTGTCGTGAACCTCACTAAAGATTACCAGAGCAAACCATAGAAAAATCAAAGCACAGAAGGCGCTGAATTTGTTTGGGTCTCAGAATGTCAGAAAGGTGAAGGTTGTTAGATTATAAACCAATTTGTTTTTGTATAGTGCCACCAATGCTTTCCAGTGTTTTAACTGTAGTAAATTGGCTATAAGACTAATTGCAACACTGATAGTCAATTCAATGTTTATTTGACTTAAAAAAAAATAAAAAAGAATGAGTTGCCTCAACTGGGATTTGAACTCCAGACCTCTCGATTCATAAGCGAGCGTGCAAAACACTCGGCCACGGTGAAGTTATATGTTAACGGCCTGAAGAAAACCATATTATTCTAAATTAGTGTTTGTAACTCTTATTATTTCGACGCTAAACCTGTTGTTGAACACAGATGTAAATGATCATTGAGCTTACTGTAAGCATGTATATCTATAAAGAATGAAACAATATTAGAAATCTTCGACCATTCGGGAACTACTTTGCTTGAAAATTAATGCGACAATCTTTACGCATTGATCTCCCCTGAATTTTTCGGCGTTAGTGTACATATAAAGGGAAGTAACCGCTTCAAAAAAGTGGACTACTTTAGGCATTTGCAATTAACAGCATTAGGCTTTGAAATTTCGCTACCATTATTTGTTTGGTCTGACGACCCAAACAAATAAAAATGAACGATGAATCCTACTGTTTTAACCATTAAAACCTTTTTTTCTGATGAACGAACACATCTTACTTTTTCTAACCTATCTGACATAGTAATGCCACAGACTGGACCCATTTTAATCAAAATGCAATGACATTCAATGCACATCTCATTAAATTCCTAGGTAAGCTAAAAACAAACAATACAAACAAACTTGAAATTAAGGTAATTAACAAAATTAGGTATTTAGAACAATTTTAAACATTTTAGATTATTTAAGCAACTGTTATCTTGATATGGATATTTTTAGACATGCTTCGCCTTATCTATCTGCGTAAAGGTTGTACTATCTGCATATTCCAAAGTGCAATTATTGGCAACGTAACTTTAACTTCAAATGGAATCAGTGTTTTTATTTGGTGAGCAGAATTACCTTTCGTACTAAAGCATTTACAATTTTCATTTACAGTTTAAGTCAGCTATAATTTTTACATTAGAAGTGATATAATAAACAATTTACATAGAAATGTACACTAATAAATCGGTATATAAGATCACGTTTCAACAGATTTATTTTTCTTTTGATAAGAAATTTTGTATCATTTTAGTTATACTTGTATTTCTGTCAACGAAATTGCTACAAATTCATGTAAGAAAGCTGCCCAGCTAGTTCCGGGAACGTCGGTGATTCTTCTGAAGTATTCACGAGTGCCGGAAATAACATTAATGTACGGAATGGCACCTGAGGTTTTTCTTCCCCACCATAGATGGAAAGTTGTCGTTTGACGTTTACAAAGTGTCAATGTGACTTTAAAAAAAAAGAAAGAAAGAAAGAATGAAAGAATGAAAGAAAAAAAGAAAGAAAGAAAGAGAAAGAAAGAGAAAGAAAGAAAAAAAGACATTGTGATTATCAACTTCCACGTGTTGCGATTGACGGTCAATATAATGTAGAAGTGATATTGACGTAGTGATATTGATCAAGACAAACTACGTTATAAAGCGTTGGGCTAAATTGTAACCGTTTAACGTATGTCAAAACATAAATCGCTATAAATGCATTTAAATTTTTATCTATAATAAAGGATTCCTGTTGACATCCTCGTTTTGGTTTGTTAATGGAGCCGGAAGCGGATGTCAAGATATAGATCACGACGCATGCGTACTAATGGCCAAGCAAAATTCAAATATTTGCTCCGACAAGGTACTTTCGCAATCAGCTTGTCCAAAATATTGCAACATGTGTCGTAAGTAATAGTTTTTATAGGATCTTCGTTTGCAGTCTGGGTTATAGACTACTTTGTATTGTGACATTTATATAGTTTTATTTACACGGCTGCTGTTTTTTTTTTTCTATAAAAAAAGATGTTCGCTGTATCATAAGTTCGTGATAAATATTCCTTACAGGTTATATATATTGCTGTATGTATAAACGGTTGTTTTCGCCTTTTGCTTTATTATATGCAAAATCAAAATTTTAATTTTCTAGTTTAACAAAAAAATTTAAAAAAGATTTTTTCACGTATTTTTAATGTTTATTTGGGCATTTGCTTTTTCAAATTTTAATGTTGAAAGTTTGGGTCATTGGTACATTGAGAAAAGTGTTGTTATGAATAATCACTTACTTATATCTTGTTTATGTTCATGTTGTGGTTGATTAGAAGCAAAAAAGTTGCTTTGATTTATACCAATTTGTAGAAATGTTTGTCCTTACAGTAGCTAGACAGACAACACTAGAAAAATTATTTCAATAGTAGAAGAAGATTTTTTTTTTAGATCGACTTACGATACATGCATACAGTACAGGCAAATATTAAGCAAACACAAAACAAAACATCGCCCGTCCATATGGACCATCCTTTTTGATTAAAATCAGCCACAATAAAAATGACAACATAGATCAACAAGACAAAATTCTTAACGTTAACGACAATTCTACAAGATAGCAGTCTTTCAATATAACAAAACAAAGCAAAATGATTTTGTTTAAAATGTGAAAAGTACTCTTTGCTTATTGTTTTTACATAATTCTACATTTCTGGTTAGAGCAACAACCAAGTAGAGCTACGGGGCATACCAACATTTTAAACAGGACATTCTCATGTGTGTATGCATGTGTAGTTCCGACAAGTCATATAAAAAAGTTGGTTATTCTTGTTACACCATTTGCCTTTTTTGTTTGTTGCAGCTGTAACATGCTACAACTGTAACACAACAACCTCTGACGTCAGCAATTGCAATACAGTCACGTGTGCGACAGGCGAGGTAGACATATTTTATTGTCACGAATTATCCAATCTTATATACATGTATTAGATAAAGTTAAATTACAATACTTGTATTTCATCAGGAATAAACAATTACAAGATAGAGTTGATGAAAATCATTAAATTGCTCATTACATTACCAAAGTGTTTTATTTTGATTGATATTTATTAGGGAGTTATATCAGTCTGTCAATATAAAGGGACAAAGCAAAATGGTTTTGGTTTAATAGAATGCGAAAAGTACTCTTTGCTTATTGTTTGTATATTGTACATAAGATTTATGTCATAATGTGTTAATGGTGTTTTAGATGTGTTTGCGGACGACAGTGATTGGGTCAGGGATAACTCACAAATACAAATTGTCATGTTCCGGGGCACCGGTAAGAAATGATAAAACAATTTTGATATCTCACTCGATAATAGCACGGCGAGGGTCTAGAAAAAGGTGTCATAACATCCGAAAATATACTATTGCATCTTACTGATTGAAAGGTCCATTGCGTGCTAATCTCCGAAATAAATAAAAATAATAAAAAGATGAAACACGTAGCTTGAGAACTTTCATCCAGCATTTTAATCTTCAAGAACAAGTCAATTAAATAGAGCATCAAGTCTAAAGTGTCAATCTTTGTGTTTTGAGTTTATTTACTCAGTATACTCGGTGCCGGAATAACCATATGTCAGAGATTGTAGCATCCTTGCCGGTCCACTATAGTAGTCTCATCGGGAACGTCTTTTTCATGCTGAATCCTCTGGGAGCCCGTTCTCCGTTCAGGGGTGTGGTGAAGGAGTCCACAACACTGCCAAGACATCAGCTTTCCGAACAACGATAACAGAAACGACCCTTGTTAACGCCACCCTCCAGAGTTAGTCACGACAGGTCAACCAATCATCTCTGTTACTTAAGTGGCTTGACTTTACCTCCCGGGGACTTTCCCCGGACTGCACGCATTGGGGTTTGGAAAGAAAAAGTGTAATTTGCTTCTTTATCTTTACATTGTTTTTAATTTTTTAAAAACATCCCACGCAAGTGCACGCACGCACGCAAACTCATGTTTTTTATGACATGCTTTAATGAGAACTGAATCTTAACATTTCCACGGTAATGCACTTTTTTCTAGTACATGTATTGTTTTAGTTTAACATTTTCTTTCAGATTTGTTCCGTTTTCCGAAAGAGGAATCAAAACTCCCCGAATGCCATCGAATTAAAATCACGCGGTGTTTCGGTAGATCATCATTGTTGTGATACTGACTTATGCAATACTCCTCTTCAACCAACGTCTACCACTCGTCAAACCACGCCTACTACAACTTACCGTCCCACAACAAGGCCTCATGTCTATCATACAACTACAACCTCGTGTAAGTAATTATAACAATATGCCTTTGATTTAAACATATATGTAACTTTTTTCTGGAAATATAAGAATAAGTCTTAGAGTAGTATGGTTTGAAAGGACCGTTCTTGTCATGAAAGATGATTGCTTTCAGGGCGATAATTAAACAGATCTTATGCATTTTGCTTATTACCTTAAAAGTAAGATGAAAAGAAAATGTGCTTGTTTTTAATGATATTTGAATTCAAAATATCTTAAAATTTGCTTTCCTAGCGCAACGTTGTTGTGTTAAAACAGAATCCCAATAGAGCACCCAAAACGACAAAATTGAAAACGTTGCAGGCTCGGTTTGATTTAACCTGTTCATGGACGGTACTGAAAATGTGAGGTTACCGTCAACGCCCCCTAGCACCGGCTTAAGAAGAATTCAACATTTAAACGTTCTCGTAATTCTGGATATCATGTTACAGATTGCAGTCGAGACATCATTATCATGATCGAGGATAGCTCAGATCTATATTTGTACTACAGCACTATAAAAGGCACACTGCATGAAATCCTCCAGAATATTGATATTGGACCGGATAGAACAAGGGTCGCTTTAGGAACGTTCGGTTTACAGCAGGGAACCAAACTCTGGGACTTGGATAGGTACAAGACAATAACTTCTAGTAACCTTATAAACCCATTGTTTCTTCTTTATATACACTTTAGCCGTGTAGGGGTTATAGTAAATCCTAAGAAAGTGATTGTTTGGCTCGGTGGTCAAGAGCGTTGTGTTTATCAATGTATGGAAATCACTGTGAGTAAGAACCTCTCATAGAGCCGATTCTTCTCCGATACATTTGTATATATTGCATCTTTCTGATGAGAATTAACGAATTTTGTTTTTGTAAGTGAGCACGGCCATGTGTTAGGCATTGTCGTGAACGAGAAGTGGTGCAACCTGACAATCACACTAAACTAAACTAGTTTCAAACCATGTTTCAGAGCAAGTGCTGAAATGGTAATCAAATATGTTGTTCAGCTCCGGCAAAAATCAAGCAGTTACACAGTTGTTCATTACCCTTCAAAGCGCCATAATCATCTTACAACTTAGTGACACTGGATGTATCTCCCTTATGTCTGAGGGGTTGGTTTTTAGGGTCGAGACATCAGAATTGCAGGGACCGTTTAACCCTACGTGATCGTAAGAGACGTCTAAATGGGTTTGAATCACTGGAGTCTATGAATCTCTTAGCTCTAAATGGATTTGAATTACTTGAGTCTATGCATCTCTTAGCTCTAGCAGGGGAGGTGGTTCCGAACCCTGGTGTTGCTTTCAGTTTTTCATATCCAAGGTTAGCCAAAATGACCTTTCCTTTTTCGGAGCCATATTACCAAGATTTTGATGGTGCGCCGCAAAACTAAACCAAAGAAACAAAGTGACACTGAAAACAATTATTATTTAAGAGTGTCCATTTCTGTTCAACTGTTTAAATAGGACATTTGGCCCAATATTAGTGTAGCGAATATTTTATATCGCAAATAACATTTATTTTTTTCTATATAAGAAAATGTTCGAACGTTCTTCAAATCAAGTTAAATTATCATACCGAAAATAATCGTTTTTTCCATCAATTTTTTTGCCAAACAATAAAGAAGGTGGATATATGTTCTCTTTGAAAAGCTAATGTATTATTTTTTTTAATAAAACAAACCTATCTATATCTACACCCTCTTCAATTTTGGACTTCTTTTCAGATACACGACGAAACAAGATGTCCTGTCGGCTGTGCAGAACATCAGGTTTCAACATTACCAATCTAACGCAAATAATCTTGTGGCAGTCCAGTACGTTCTCGACCACTTTCGTCAAGGCAATAGGGCGCACGTGCCTGATGACGTCATTATCATCAGTGAAGCACACGCTCTAAATATTTTCAATCATCATCAGGAGGACGTTGCTATAAACCAACTGCATCAAATGAGTCGTAATGTGATCGCGGTTGGTTTGGGATCAGTCAATCAAAATGAAATGAATTGGGTGGCCACTGATAGGAACCATTTCTATCTCATTGAGAACATATTCCACTTCAATTTTCAGAGTTTTGTTTATACAGTTACTAATTTGATTCATTGTAATTAGTAAATTATAATGTTGTTCGTTCTCTAGTAAGTAAAATTCGGTCAATTTCCTCACTTTTCCTTACATTCCGTGATACATAATCATCAAGAAGAAATCGCCAATATGACTATAAGCTATTCGAATCTTGTGAACTGATTGCTTTTTAAAGAAATACTACGTGTGAATATCCACGAAATAGGCCGGGCTTTACTGACTGTAAATGAATGCAATATATTTGGAAATAAATGGATTTAAAGTGTGTCGAATTGTTTTGTTGGGCAAACAACTTGTAAGTGATTTAACCTATAGTATGTAAGATGCAGACTCTAAGGGCAACTGTCGTATTAACGGTAAGTTACATATACTTAAGACGATTGATTTAAATTTATTCCAACATTTGTTTCAAGAAAGACTGCGTCATTAACCTACCGCTAGATTCAGTCTGTATGTGTCTCCTGAAATTCAGGATTGGTCGTTTGTATTCAGTCAACCGCTATGGCCATGTGACCTATATTGCCGTAAAGGAGATAGCCCATGCCCATTGAATAGGTGACATTAAGCTGCAGAAAAAAAGAAAGAAAATTATCCATGCAAGGCAAGGCAAAGATCTAACGGCCTCTCTTAAAAGACAGACTTTATCTTACAAACGATTTATCGTGCAAACTTATTCTACAAAAATGCTTCCACATAAAAGAAACATCTTAAGATAGATCTTGTCGATAGAAATCTAGTTAATTAACGTTACTATTTGAATTGATTCTTTTTCATGCATGAGTTTCTTTAAACAAATACATATCTTTACATCAAATATCTGTGAAGTATTAAACCACTTCTCCCCAATGGACTCCATCAGGACTATTACTTTATGCGCATGCTCGTATTAATAATTTCAGCTATATTTAGATTATGCCACGTGTGTGTCGAACTAGTTTATGGTCATATTGTCTGGCGTGTGTTGGTTTAAGGGTAGATTGACGGACAGTAAATAGTAACCAGTACAAAGCAAAACACTGTGGCAGACCTTGTTTATTAGTTTATAGGGTCATCGCTAAGTACTTTGCGTTATATTGACTTAGAGGCTCCAGGCTTTCCATCAAGCTCTTGTCCATCCCAATTGGTTTGAACTAGGAGGTTTGCACTGCAATACAGGGCTAATTGAAAAAGTACGAAAGTCAATGGTAATATATGATTGAAAGGGGGAACAGTACGCGTGCTCTGAGGCAAATCACGTGCAGGACTCCCATGACGTCATTCCTGAAGCATAGGACATGTGTCTAATATAAATATTACCGTTAGGGGAGGCCTACATTGTTTGATTAAAATGACAGTAAGTTGCAGGGTCAAGTTGTTTAAACTTAATCGGATCCTCATTGTTTTTATCTCAGTGCCATATATTATAACAGAGGAAAAGCCGATAAAATTAAACGAGCGTTTTTAAATAAAACTAAAATAGAAAAAAGTAATCCATTAAAAACGACCGAAACGTCAAATTTGAAAATGTTGCAATCTCGGCGAACCCGCCCATAGCACCGGCTTAAGCAGAATTCATGAAATAGTAAAATTTTGAATTTAGATGACTAGAAAGATCTGCAGATGCTTTCATACGTCGGGTATCATTTACAAGTTTGACTGAATACAGGTACGTTAATTCTGATGTCCTCGTTTATTGTACAATAAAAGTCTTCATGCAGCAATAAATTGATGGGTGGATGTGGCTGCATTTTACTCCTCGTGGAATTACTTCAGATTGCGTATTATTAAAAAAAAAATGCGCAACCATTTACTGCATTCGTTGTTATAAGTTACAAAAACAGAAAGTTTTCATTGAAGAATAAGTTCTAGACCACGCAAGTCCGTATTTTGCATGTGTCTGCTAGTTTCCATAAAAATATTCATGATCTTAGATAATAGACAGTTTTTAGCGAGTAGACGACGAACTATTTTGAGAGTTATCTGCCCCTGAATTTGAATTTCTACTTCCCTGTCTTTAAAAGAACTGAAGATAATTTCTGTAAGAGCGTTATGCCATGGTTTGGGGTATCCGGTCATTTCTGTCCAAATTTCACTCATTTCACATAGCATCATTTTGTACATTTCACTAACTTAGAGTTAATATATGGCTTGAAAAAGATATTACATAGGATCATTTTGTTTGCTTTGGTTTTCTTTGAATACACAATTAAAACACAGTATAATCATTGACCACAGACTTTATTGGCTTGCAGCCACGGCTGCAAGCCATTTCATTTGGAAAACCTGTTCCGGTTAGGTGGTTTTCTGCTTACATTTATAAGTGCATGATTGAACGGGAAACCAGCTGAAATCGTGCCAATCGCAACTTTTCGGCCTTTTCCGTCACTCTTCGGATTAATGATAATAGCCGATGTTACTTCCGATTGCAATCGTGACAATTCGGGCGATTCCGTCATACTGCGGAATCAGACGAAGTAATATTACGGAAATCTAAAGCTATTTTAGTTACTTCGGTAATCCCAGTTTGTTTATATAAATAGGATTCGTATTTTTACTTGATTTATTGAATTTAAACCGTAATAAATTATAAACAGAAATTGTTCCGTTTCAATTCTTTTTCAAGACGCAAAAGTTAGTTTCTTTTATAATTGTTTTTGTCTGTATTAGTTTTACACAATGAAGAGGAATGTTGACTGTAGTAGTATTCCGTTCTTCAAAGGGTGGTCCAAATCACACAGTGCATGATCGAGTTATATTTAGATCTACTGAACTTGGTGAGGTAATCTAAAAAATAGCCCATGCATATTCATTAACCTTACCACGTGATGATTTATAGATAGCGCATCGTATCTGGGAACATGCTTATTAATTAAATGAAATGTGCACACTTTGTTTCCATTCCCAGTATGATAGATCTTCACGTTAGTATTTTTACGATTGATTATTTTCTTTATTAGTTTTATACAATAGAGAATAGATTTCAAATCGTTTTGACAAAAATATTCGTTTTTACAAAAATAAAAACAAATAAATATGTTGGGATGAAGGCACAACTGTGCAAGCCTTTCCTTTTAAAAGGAAACTTTATTTTATACTTTATTTTCTTTACATGAAATTCCTAAAACATACCTGGCACATCTGAACATGAACGCCCATTCTCAATAAAATAAAGCATTTGAGGTTGAAAAATATTAAAAATTTAATGTTGTCTTTGTGTCATTTTTTATCGCTGAAGTAAAAGTTTAGGGTATTTTGCAAGTTTGCTAGAAATATTTTGAACAAGAAACTATAATATAACAGGATGGCATTTATTTCGGTAATGACACTGTATTTTCTTCGGTAACGTAGATTTCAGAATCTAATAATGTAACATATTGACTGCATATTAATAACAAATGTCTGTAAAACATATCCAAAATCTGTAAATTCTCTATCTAGAGGGACTTTCTAACCCAGGAAAATTCAAGGAAGTTGGGTATCTTGCTAAGTTTCAGTTAGTTTCTTCAAAGTTAAATATTCGTAGAAAGCAAAAATAGTCAATTTTGGAAATGATTATTTTATGTCTTCATTCAAAGGATAAATATCATATATAATATATGAGAGGTCGAATGCATACACATTTTTTGTATTAGCATTTTTTTTCTCAAAACATTCAACTTTCCACTTTCTTAATATTTGGAAAATTTATTGCTGAGCAGTTCTATATTTATCCCCATATAGGATGTCACGTATGTTTCATTTTATTCAAATGCAAGTAAAGTTTGAGAAAATTATTTTATTTTTTGTAAAAAAAATATATTTATGTATATTATTTTAACATTATTATATATAGAATGAAATACGGCCAGTAAGCTCTTTGCAGAAACGAATTAGTTGTTGCTGAGAACATCAATATCTTGTAATATATTTTTAACATTTCTGCTGGTACATCAACATATTATTAACATATCTTTCCATTGTAAAAACACTTTTGAATCTTCTTACATCTAATACAAGGTAACCGTTACTAACAGGCATGCTAATCCCAACTTTATCTTTAATTTTCAAAAATTGTTGAATTGTAAATTGGAGTAACGTATGTTTCACACTCGCTTATTTATGAACTTTATCACGGAATTGAAACTTACATGTAAAATCGACTTTTTTTTATTTAGGAATCAAATGTACATCATTATACTGTCATAAAAATGCGGTTTTATGTTTTTATATATGCATGTGTAAACAATATAAAGTCTGTATGATAAAAGTAACGTTTGTTTCACTGTGGTTAAACAAGTTAAAAATCGACCAACAAAACAAAATTTACTTACAAATGTCAAATTGAAGTTTATGTTGCTGTTATACGTGCTTTCTGACTTCAATTTACCTTTTGATAAACTTACTTTGAAAAAGTGATAACGTATGTTTCTGTAACGTATGTTTCATTTTTACATTGAAAGTGGGTTAAAAATGACGCAAGACCGTTTAACCCGCCATAATTTGTGGTTAATATATCAGAGTTACACACATGTTAATTTTCTTACTTGTTTGGATTCTTCTTTGAATGGCTTGACTCTTAAATAATCGTAACGAATGTTTTTTTTAACATGCCGTTGAAAAGATTTGAATGAAAAATGAAAAATTCCGAAAATAGAATGATATTTGAGTGGCTGCAAGCTTATTTTTACTTATAATTATATATATGCTGTATTATTAAGCATGCATCGATTCAATTATGTAATTTTGGTTTCACTTCTTATTGTTTTAGGTTTGTCACTATTTATTTATATGCATTTGGCGACATTTGATCATTCATTATATCAATGAGATTTTAACAGTCAAATATAATTTTTACCAATAATCAAAGTTCATATACAAACAGCAATGACTAATTGCACATGTTTCGTTTATTCTGGAACTTATTTTTCTGAAACACAATTTCAAAGTTGAAAATTCTAGGTGGCGACAGTAACTTATGTTACATTTTAGGGCATTAATGGTACTTGTAAAAGAAAAATAACAGATAGAAATGTAAAACTGAGAGAGTCCCTATTAACAAAGTGGCAGCCACCTTTCTAACGACATTTTGACCTCTAGAAAAACCTTCGCATAAGAGCTATACCCAGTGGAACATCAAATGCTGTGTTTTATTGAGAATGAGCGGAAATATCACATATTTCCGTTGAATACATATTCCGACAAAATTATTTTTTCAACATTATTCTATGGTTTATATGTAAAAAAAATAAACGTATTATAAGTTGTCATGACGTTCAGATTAAAATATACGTTCTTCATCTTATATTCGT